GATCAATCAGATGTGGTTTGGTTGGTTTCGGCATCGGTTGTCGAATTCGAAAGTTTCAAGTTCTTTAAGTTTGAATCAGAGTATGATTCATGATTTTAGCGTTGTTTGATGTGATTTGAGGTCTCGACTAAGTTTGTATAGTGTTTTAGGATTTGTTGGTATGTTTGGTTAAGGTCCCGAGGGCCTCAGGTGAGTTTCGGGGTGAGTTTTGAACGAGTACGGGATTTTCGGCACTCTAATGTTATTCTGGGGGTCTTTGGAAGTGCGGACCACACATTTTGGGAGTGCTAAGGCAAAAGGGAAGTGCGAACCTCAGGGGCATTGTGCGGACCACACAATTTTGGTGCAGCCGCACTTCAGTCCGCAGAGGAGTGTGCGGACCGCACAATTTTATGTGCAGCCGCACTCATGAACTCTCAGATTCGCTGGTCCGACTTTGGAAGCTTTTATCTTTTGATCTACGAGGAACTGTGAGATGATTCAAAAATGAAAATCGTAGCCCTTCATGTCTAGTTTCCAGAAAAGTAAAGCAGTCATCATTTAGACATATGTAGAAAATGTTATGGCCACAATACCAAAGCCTGGCAGTGCAGTCACCAAGAGTGCGGCCGCACAAGTTTTGTGCGACCGCAAAAGCTGGGAGGTGCGGCCGCACATGGAATTGTGCGGACCGTACATTGGGAGTTCAGAGGATGTACTATATATCTGAGGTTTAGGTTATTATTTCTTTTTTGGATTTTGGGAGCTCGGTTTGAGACGATATTTCGTCAGTTTTTTAAGAACTTCATCAGGGTAAGTGATTCTAACTCGGATTTGGTTAATATACATGAATATATCACTGATTTTATCATTTAATTAGTACTTTGAGATGGAAGTTTGGGAAAAATTGTAGAAACTTCATAAACCATAAATTGAGGATTTGAAGGTCGAGTTGTGATCGGAATTGGCAAATTTTGGTATGGTTGGACTTGTGAGCGAATGGGTGTTCATATTTTGTGACTTTTACCCGATTCCAAGACGTGGTCCCGGGTCGACTTTTCAGGACGGATTTCGGAATTTTTATTAAAAGTTTGATTTCATTAATTAGATTAGTTTATTATAGTTGTATTTATGATATGTAATTGTTTTTGGCTAGATTTGGGCCATTCGGAGTCTGATATTCGTGGAAAAGGCATTATTACCGATTGATTGAGCTTAGTTCGAGGTAATTGGCTTGCCTAACCTTATGTGGGGGAAATCCCATTAGGATTTGGTACTGTTTTGATATGTGAGCGCCGTGTACGTGAGATGACGAGTACGTACACGGGCTAATTGTTGTATAAACCCCAACTTATTTTACTAAGTGGTAATCTATTCTTCTTTTAAATTAAGTTATACCGTTTAAATGAGTATTAGCATGTCTTCATTCTTATTTGAACTATCCCAATATGTGTAGCTATCCTGTTTACTCTAATATCGCATGTCTACGTGCCTTAGCTACTTAATTGAACACTGTGAAGCATGCCTAGTTGATTTCCTGTTTTTCCTTGAATTGTACTTAGTCTAATTTGTAGGATTTTGTGTTTTAAATTGTAGAGTTCTATTCTTTGAGCTGCATATTTACTTTGGGACTACGGAACGGTATTCGGTAGATCCCCATGCTCTGCATATTTACTTTGGGACTACGGAACGGTATTCTGGTAGATCCCCATGCTCTGCATATTTACTTTGGGACTACGGAATGGTATTCTGGTAGATCCCCCTGCTCTGCATGTTTACTTTGGGACTACGGAACGGTATTCCGGTAGATCCCCCCTGTTTTGCATATTTATTTTGGGACTAGAAATGGTATTCCGGTAGATCCCCCCTATTTTGCATTTTTACTTTGGGACTACGGAACGGTATCCCGGTAGATCCCTCTGCATATTTACATTTGGGACTACGAGACGGTATCTCGGGAGATCCTCTGTTGTATTTCTGCGTACTGAGCTGTTACCTTCAATGAATTCTTTCTTGTTATAAATTCCAGTCCTTATTTTACTGCGAGATTTTATTCTTGCCTTGCTTTATTATTATATATATACCAGAAGGGCCCTGATCTGACCTCGTCACTACTCGACCGAGGTTAGGCTTGGCAGTTACTGGGTACCGATTGTGGTGTACTCATGCTACTCTCTGCACATATTTTTCGTGTGCAGATCCAGGTGCTCCTTATCAGCCGCGCTATCAGTGAGCCGGGACAACTTTGGAGACTTCAAGGTATATCTGTCGCATCTGCAGACCTCGGAGTCCCTTTCTACTCTTTCCCATGTCCATTATCTTCTGTATTTTTCTTTTGTTAGACTCTGATATATAGAGACATTAGATTTCCTTCTGTAGTTTGTGATTCACGATGTTCCGGGTTTTGGGATTGTTGTTTATTTTTGAATAGTTGGTTAAATTTATGTTTTCATTTCAATATTTCGCAAATATTAGGCTTACCTAGTTGTAGAGACTAGGTGCCGTCACGACGTCACACAGAGGGGAAATTGGGTCGTGACACATACATATACAACCCTAAGGCTCATCGCGGCGTGCAACCCGCTCCACATATATACAGCCCTAAGGCACGTCTGGCAAGCCCTAACTCAGTCATCAACCTCTCTAGTCTCTCGGGCTCTCAAATATCATAAAAATCAGCCTAAACAGAAATGATGTAATGTATCAACAAGAAACATGAAGAGACTGATATATGATACGCAAGAAAATTCGTGACTGAGTATAAGACAATAATTAACAAATAATTCAACAAGTACACGACCTCTGCAGGTCCCTGTAGTACCAACCTTTAGTCTAAACATGATTTTTAACATGATTTGCAGTCAAATTGCGATAACACATGAAGAGCATATAGCTAATAAGAGAGTATTCAACTTCACAGTTCCATAGAACGGATCAAGTCACAATTTCCATGGTGCACGCCCACACGCCCATCACCTAGCATGTGTGTCACCTCCAAACCAATCATAATACACATAATACGGGGTTTCATACCCTTAGAACCAAATTTAGAACTATTACTTACCTCAATCCGAGCAAATACCTACTCCAATACGCCCTTGCCACACAAATCGTCCTCTAAACGCCTTGAATCTAGCCACAAACAATTCGATACAAATCAACACGAGCTAAAAGAATCAATTTCACAAAAACAATTATGATGTTATTAAGCAAAAATTCAAAATCGGCTCAAAGCCGGCCCCCGGGCCCATGTCTCAAAATCCAACAAAAATCACAAAACCCGAAAGCTTAATCAACCACGAGTCTAACCACACCAAATTTATCAAACTCCGGCACCAAATCGTCACCCAAATCCCCAAATCAAACTCTCCAAATCCCTAGCCTCAATCTCCCAATCTACACCTTAAATACACACCAACTATGTGGGAAAATCTATGGGGAAGCAATATTATTGATCAAAAATAAGCACAAGGGACTTGCCTCAAGAATCCCCTCGAAAACCCTCTCAAAAATCGCCTAAACCTTGCTTGAAATGTTTGAAATTAAGCCAAAATAGCGAACCCTTGTTTTAATAATCTGCCCAGGCTTTTCGCACCTGCGGCCCCATATCCGCACCTGCGAAACCGCTTCTGCGGTCAAGTCCCTGCTTCTGCGGAAGCTACTTAAATCCCTCAGGCCCGAATCTGTGCTCCAAGTTCCGCACCTGCGGAGCCGCTTCTGCGGTCTTCCATCCGCTTCTGCGAAAACATGATCCTTTATCAATTCCGCATCTGCGGAGCCCCGCTCGTACCTCCGGGCTCGCAGATGCGGTAAATGCTTCGCACATGTGCCTTTCCCAGGCCAGGCCAGCCAAGCCCCGCTTCTGCATAAACCCAACCATATATGTGGCATCACATGTGCGGAAATGACCTCGCACCTACGACCACTACTCACCTCTTCCCTGGCCGCTTTTGCGGTTCACCTTTCGCTTCTGCGAGATCGAATCTGCTATGCCAACTCTGCAGGTGCGATTACACTAGAAGCTGGTGAGCTTCAGCACTTCCCTCAAACATCAAATCGATCTGTTAACCATCTGAAATCAACCCGAGGCCCTCGGAACATCAACCAAACATATCAACGGGTCCCAAAACATGATACGAACTTAGTCGAGCCTTCAAATCACCTCGAACAACATCAAAAACACGAATCGCACATAGATTCAAGCCTAATGAACTTTAAACTCCCAATTTCTACAAACGATGCCGAAACTTATCAAGTCACGTCCGTTTGAACACAAAGTTTGCACACAAGTCACAAATGACATTACGGACCTACTTTAACTTCCGGAATTTGAATCCGACCCCGATATCAAAAAGTTCACTCCCGGTCAAACTTCCCAAAAATTCAACTTCCGCCGATTCAAGCCTAATTCTACTACGGACCTCCAATTCATATTTTGGACACGCTCCTAAGTCCAAAATCACATAACGAAGCAACCAGACCCATCAAACCTCCATTCCGGAATTGTTTACTCAAAGATCAACATCCGGTGAATCCTTTCAACTTAAGCTTTCAACCTTGAGACTAAGTGTCTCATTTCATTTTGAAATCACACTGGACCCGAACCGATTACCCCGGCAAGTCACATAATAGCTATAAAGTACAAAATGAGCAGTAAATAAGGGAACATGGCTACATCTCTTAAAATAATTGGTCGGGTTGTTACACTCCCCCCCCCCCCCCTCTTGCACTTTCAATTGGTATCAGAGTTAGTCTCATACTTTTTGCTTAACAGATTGTGAGAAAAGATCATGTCAAATCAAGTTATTGTTGGAGCACTCTTTCAAGAAGGAACGTCGTAAGTCAGGCCACCATATTTCAATGGACAACACTTTTCTCACTATAAAGTGCGAATGAAAATATATGCAAAATCCTATGATGTCAAAGTATGGCGCATTATCAAAAAGGGTAACAATCCACTACTAGCTACAGCTCAACCACCCGCTGATCCGGAAGATATAGATGAATACACATATTAGCAAATGGAAGTTGTTCAGTTCAATGTTGAGGCACAAAATTTAATCTATAATGCTATAAGCGGAGAGGAATATGAGAAAATCTCAAGTTGTGACACAACCAAAGAAATGTGGGACAAACTGAAAGTCGGTTATGAAGGAACCAGCAAAGTAAAAGAAACTCAAATAAACATGTTGGTTCATGATTATGAACTCTTCCGGATGAAAGAAGGAGAATCCATTGAGGAAGTGTTTGAAAGGTCCAGCAAAATCATTGGCGATCTAAAAACCTTTGGTAAACTCTACTCAAGTGGTGATCAAGTTTGAAAAATTCTAAGGAGTCTACCTACCACTTGGCAGATAAAATTAGCCGCACTCGAATCTCAAGAACTAAACAAACTCTCATATAATGAAATACGAGGAGATATTATAGCATTCAAGAAAATACATCTCAAGAAAACAAACTAGGAAGAAAAGAAGAAAATAGTTGCCTTCAAAGATACAACTGAAGGACATGAAAATGATATTGATGACGACCCGGAAGCTCTTGAAGAAGAGATTGCCATGGTATCAAGAAACATGGATGGTTTAATGAGAAGGTATAGAAACACAAGAAGGGGAAGGATGCCACCCAAGCGAACCAGGCAATAAAATGAACAAGACAAGAATGATTGAAGGTATGGGCATGTTCAAGCTGAATGCCCTGATCTTAAAAGAAAAGTCTCCAGAGGATTCAATTAAAATAAATCTTTCGGAAGCCGGAGTGATGAAGATAATTTAGAACACGAAGAAATAGCAAACTTGTGTGTCATGACCATTTTGGAAAATAACATGAACAGATACTCTGGCTGCTTGCCGATGAAGATGCATCAGACGATGAATGCACAGAAGATACTGAAAATTGTTTCATGGCACGAGGTGAAACAAGCAAGGTAAGATCCTATAACTGTGATACATGTAATGATTTGTAGGATATTCTTGACCTTACTCTAAAAGAGTCTCAAAAAATGTTGAATGAACTAAGAAGACTCAATGGAGAAAATAAGGTCTGGGAACTTAAACTTGAAGTCTGTGAAATCGATAGAGATGTACTTCAAGATGAAGTTCAGGAATTTCAAATGCAACTTAATGGCATGCGCAAGTCCACCAGTCACAGTTCTGTCAAATCTAACCAGGAGACATACAAGTCAACTGAAAAAGAATTGGCTAGAACTGAGTCCACAAGTACTAACACAAGTGGGAGATCGAAAATTGGATCAACCGATGCGTGTCATTATTGTAACAAAGTTGGTCATAAATACTCTTTTTGTAGATTTCGTAATTCAAATATTTCAGGATGGATTTGGAAACCCAAAAGTAATTATGATTCAAGCAATAATAACCAACAAGGACCCAAGCAAGCTTGGGTACCTAAAAGAAGGTGATCATTTTATTTTGCAGGAACACCACAGAAAGAGTCACAAAGGAAGTGGTATTTAGACAGTGTGTGTTCCAGTCACATGACGGATGACAAAAATCTATTAAAAGAAGTTACAAAAATAAATGGAGGAAATGTCAAATTTGGAGATGATACAAGAGGAAAGATAGTTGATACTGGAACAGTTCCAATCAGCAATAATTGCGATATTACTAAAGTACATCTAGTGGATAGACTCAATTACAATCTTTTAAGTATCATCCAACTATGTGATTTGGGGTACAAAGTTAAATTCAAGAAAACTAGATGTGTTATTGAAAATGAGGCAGGAAAGATTATTCTTCCAGGTAAAAGGTATGGAAACATCTACATTCTTAATGGCTTTGAAAATCTAGATAGTCATATCTGTTTAGCATCCATATCCGATGATCCATGGCTCTGGCATAAAAAACTCGGTCATGCAAGCATGCATCTTATTGAAAAACTCTCCAAGCATGATTTAGTAATTGGTCTTCCTAAGCTCAATTTCTCTAGAAATCATGTATGTGATGCATGTCAAATTGGTAAACAAACTAAAAACTCTTTCAAAACTAAGGACATTGTGTCTACTTTCAAGCCTTTACAATTGATTCACATGGATCTATTTGGACCTACTAGAACTACCAGCATTAGAGGTAAACGATATGCTTTTGTTATTGTTGATTACTACCCACGCTTTGCATGGGTGATTTTCTTATCTCATAAAGATGAGCATTGAAAGTTTTTGAGATTTTCAATAAAAGAGTTGAATGAGAAAAGGGGCATCTTATAGCAACTATTCAAAGTGATCATGGAGCAGAATTTGAAAGCAGAGTTTTTGAAGAATTCTGCAACGATCAAGGATACACTCATAATTTCTCAGCACCAAGGTCACCACAGCAAAATAGAGTGGTTGAACGTAAGAATAGAACTCTGCAGGATATGGCAAGAACCATGATACTAGAACATTCTCTCCCAAATCATTTCTAGGCAGAAGCAGTTGGCACAACTTGTCATATTCTTAACAGGTGTTTGATTCAACCCGTTTTGAAGAAAACTCTATACGAATTATGGAAAGGTAAGAAACCCAATATTGGATACTTTCATACTTTTGCAAGCAAATGCATTGTCGACAATAATGGCAAGGACAATCTTGGTAAGTTTGATCCAATGAGTGATGAAGGTATATTTGTCGGCTACTCGAATAATAGTAGATCTTTTAGAATCTATAATAAGAGTACCTTATGTGTAGAGGAATCAGTTCACGTTATTTTTTATGATAATAACTCTATGGCTAAGAAAGGAAATTTTGCAGGTGATGAAGAGATCAGTCAAAATTAGCCAAAGAAAAATGAAACGAAGACTTCAGAAGAAACTGCTGACACAATGATTGAAATCCCACAGTCGACTAATGAAGGAATCAATGAGCAATGACCAACCTCAGAACGAGTCAACTAATCAGCGTACTGAAAAAGTACCAAACGAGTGGAGAAGCAAACCAGAATATCCTCAGAAGTTCATCATTGGAAATCTAACAAATGGAATAAAAATAAGAGGAGCTTTAAAGAAAAAGACCAACATTGCACTCATATCTCAAATAGAGCCAAAGAAAGTTGACTAAGCCTTGAAAGACTTAAGTTGGTTTCAAGAACTTGATCAGTTTGATAAAAATCAAGTCTGGACATTGGTGCCAAAACCAACAAATGCAGCAATCATAGGAACCAAATGGGTATTCAGAAACAAACTGAATGAACAAGGTAAGGTCATCCGGAATAAATCAAGTTTAGTCGCTCAAGGTTACTCTCAACAAAAAAGAGTCGACTATAATGAAACCTTCGCTCTGGTAGCACGGTTAGAATCAATTCATATTTTATTAGCATATGATTCTTTTATAGGATTTAAACTTTTTCAAATGGATGTTAAAAGTGCATTCTTAAATGGCTTCATTGATGAGGAGGTTTATGTTAAACAACCTCCCGGTTATGAAAACTCACAGTTTCCTTATCATGTATTTTAGTTGACTAAATTTCTCTATAGGCTAAAGCAAAGCACCTAGAGCCTGGTATGAAAGACTAAGCTCATTTTTGGTTAGACGTGGATTTTCGAGAGACGAAGGGTGTAAGGCCCCGTAAAATTAGCTAATGATTTAAGACTTTATAGTGCACCAACAATAATTGAGAATAATTTAACTTGGACGAATTTTGGAGCTTTCCTCCATATAACGGCCCGGCCGGTCGTTTTGATAGAATTAGCCCCAAACCTTATTTATTTCTCCCTCTACTTCAGTGAGTGGTTATGTAACTCGCCGGGAGGATTTGGTTTTGGTTTCGCAGTGAAATGGGACACATAGTCCCTAAAATGGAGGTTTAAGTCATAGGAATTGACCGTAGTTCGAACTGTATAAAGACGATTCTGGAATAGAGTTTTGACGGTTCCTACAGCTCCGTAGGGTGATTTTGGTCATAGAAGCATGTTCGGATGTTGAATTGGAGATCCGTAGGTCATTTTAGCATCAATTGGCGAAAGATAGAAAATGTGATGATTTTTGAGAAGTTTCACCGAGAGTGGACTTTTTGACATTGGTGTCAGATTCTGATTTCGAAAGTTGGAATAGGTCCGTAATATCAATTATGACTTGTGTGCAAAATTGGAGGTCAGTGGGACATGATTTAATAGGTTTCGGCGTCGGATGTAGAAGTTTAAAACTTTAAAGTTTATTAGGATTGAATCGATGTGTAATTCGTGTGTTTAGCATATTTTGATGTGATTTAAAGGCTTGACTAAGCTCGTATGATGTTTTAAGACTGGTTGGTATATTTGGTTGAGGTCCCAGGGGCCTCGGGTTGATTTCAGATGGTTAACAGATCATTTGGAGTTGTGTTGGATTTGCTAAAGTTTGTTGCACCTGGTGTAATCGCACCTGCGCACTTTGGGCCGCAGATGAGACCCCGCACAAGCGACCATAGAGCTGCATAAGTGATTATGTATCCAGCTGGTACTGCAGATGCGGTTAGAGTCTCGCAGAAGTGGACTCGCAGGAGCGGAGGATGGAGCGCAGAAGCGGGCGCGTAAGTGCGGCCCTTGTTCGCAAAAGCGAAATTTGAGGGCTTAAGTGAAGTCCGCACCTGCGATGGTTTTTCTGCAGGTGCGGAACCGCAGATGTGGTGGATCCCTCGCAAAGGCGAAAAAGCTGGACAGAACACTTAAATGCAAGGTTTTGTGAGTTTTGCTCATTTTAGACATTTTGAGCTCGGATTTGGCGATTTGTGAAAGCATTTTCGAGGGATTTCTTGAGGTAAGTCCTTTGTACGTATTTTTCATCAATAATCTTGCTTCCCCATATATTTTCCCACCTAGTTAGTGTGTATTTAAGGTGGAAAATAGGAACTTGCAGGTTATGGATTTGGAGAGTTGATTTGAGAAATTGAGTAGCGATTTGGTGTCAGATTTTGGTAATTTTGGTATGGGTGAACTCGTGGTCGAGTGGGTGTTTGTATTTTGTGAATTTTGCCCGATTCCGTGATGTGAGCCCGGGTCGACCTTTTGGGCTGCATTTTCGATTCTTTGCTAAAATCGTAGATTTATTATTTAAATTAGTTTCTTGTAATTGCATTCACGTTGTGAAATTGCTTTTGGCTAGATTTGGGCCATTCGGTGTTAGAAAGTCGAGGGAAAGGCATTCTTACCGATTGATTGAGCGACATTTGAGGTAAGTGACTTGTCTAACCTTGTGTGGGGAAAATCCCCTTAGGTTTTGGTACTGTTGTAACAGTTTGTGATATGTGAGCGCCATGTACACGAGGTGACGAGTGTGTACACGGGCTGATTATGGAAAAACATTCGGTTCTTGCTGATTTGTCATCTTTTAAAATACATTAACGGAGTTATTTTCTTTTAAAATACATTAACTGAGTTGCCTTAACATATGTAGTGATCATGTTTAGCCTAGTATCGCATGTCTATGTCCTTAATTCTTACTTGTAATTTATGCAACATGCTTAGTTGAATTACCTGCTTTACTTGATTTGAATTAAATCTTTAACCGTAAGATTCTTGCTGAAAAGTCGTGTTTCCCTTTGATTACCTGTTGCATATTTACTTTGGGACTACGAGGCGATTCCTCGGTGATCCCCCTGTACTGCATATTTACTTTGGGACTATGAGGCGATTTCTCAGGAGACCCCCCTGTACTGCATATTTACTTTGGGACTACGAGGCGGTTCATCATGAGATCCTCATGTACTGCATATTTAATTTGGGACTACGAGGTGTTTACTCGGGAGACCCCCCTGTACTGCATATTTACTTTGGGAATACGAGGCGTTTACACGGGAGATCCACCTTCACTGCATATTTACTTTGGGACTACGAGGCGGTTCCTTGGGAGTGCCCCTACTTTGTACCTCTATTTATTGTGCTGATATTTTTTGAAACTTCTTATTGTTTAAATTTTAAGTCATTTCAAAATATTATTATACTTTCTGCCTCACTTTTATTTTAAACCAGTAGGGCCCTGACCTGACCTCGTCACTACTCTACCGAGGTAAGGCTTGGCACTTACTAGGTACCGTTGTGGCGTACTCATATTACACTTTGCACATCTTTTTGTGCAGATTCAAGTTCTTCCCACCAGACCAGATACCAGTGAGTTGGACCGTACGTGGAGACTTCAAGGTATATCCGCCAGCGTCCGCAGACCGCGGAGTCCCCCTCTATCCTTATTATGATATTTCCCTGATTCTCTTTAGACTTGATGTATATAGACACTTAGTATTTCTATTAAAAGCTTGTTACTTATTTCTATCGGGTTTTGGGAGATGTATTGATTTTGGAATCACAGTTTGAATTACATTACATATTTAGATTGAGCTTCAGTTTTATTATTCTATTATTTCGCAAATTGTTAGGCTTACCTAGTATTAGAGACTAGGTGCCATCACGATGTCCTACGGAGGGAAAAATGGGGTCGTGACAATTTGGTATCAGAGCTCTAGATTCATAGGTGTTATGAGTCACAACAAGGTTTAGTAAAGTCTCGCAAATCGATACGGAGACGTCTGTACTTATCTTTGGGAGGCTATGGAACTGTTAGGAAAAGTTTCACTTTCTTTGATTCCTTATCGTGTGAGATTTTGACTTCGGTCTCTAAAATTCTGTTTTTCTATTCTCTCACAGATGGTGAAGACACGTATAGCTAGATTGGATGATCAGACACCCGCTCCCCTACTAGAGCTGCGAGAGGCCGGGACAGAGGCCGAGGACGTCCACGTGGTGCAGCCAGAGAACCCGCACGAGATACTACAGAGGAGCCACCAGTACCTCCAGTTGGAGGACAGGCACCCGAGATGCTTGTTACTGCACCAGCTCTCCAGGAGGCTCTAGCCCAGTTCTTAAGCATGTTCAGTACCTTGTCTCAGGCAGGATTGATACCTCTTGCTCCTGCCACATCTCAGGCCGGGGGCGGAGCACAGACTCCCATCGCCAGTACCCCCGAGCAGCGGGTTCAGGTAGACCAGGATCCAAAGATCATACCGATTCAGCCAGTAGCTCCAGTTTAGCCCGAGGTTAGGGCAGCAGCTTCTGAGGTAGAGCAACTCAGACTCTAGAGGTACAAGAAGTACCACCGACCTACTTTCAGTGGCTTGGCGTGAGAGGATGCCCTGGGTTTTCTTAAGGAGTGCCATTGTATCCCCCGTACTAGGGTGTTGCGAATACTAGTGGGGTTTCTTTTATTACATT